TGCAGGCTGTATTTGGTGTTGGATCCCCTGGGAGGATGTCGTCAAGAGTCATGGAGCCAATCTCTCCAATGGGGTCTCGACTTTCTGCTCTTGCTCAGCGTGAGAAAAAGCAGCAACAGCTGCGTAGCCTTAGCTCAAGGGATCTTGCATCCAACCACCCTATGGCCTCAGTTGCTGGATCTCTTGGAAATTCTTGGTCCAAATGGGGATCCCCTAATGGAAAAGTAGACTGGTCAGTTAATGGAGATGAATTGGGTCGTTTACGGAGATCCTCTTCTTTCGAGCTTGGAAACAATGGTGAGGAGCCTGACCTATCATGGGTCCAATCTCTAGTCAAGGAATCTCCTCCTGAGATGCTGAAAGAGAAGTTTGCAAATCCAGTATCCAGCACTGCATCTCCTGGCACGGGATTGAATTCAAATTCTAGAATTGATTCTGTTCTAGAATCTTGGATTGAGCAAATGCAAATTGATCAGCAGCAACAGCTTGTAGTCTAGTCAAAACAAACTGGTGTTTACTCATGAAGATAGGGTATAAGTATTTTATCGGAAGTACATATTGTTGTTGGATTTTTTATTGGTGGGGATGGTCAAGTTGGCGGTAAAGAACTGGCAAAAAGGTTTCGGGGAAATCCTTCAATTTTATCCTATTTTGTTATCTAAAGCGAAGTTGGAAGGTTGAAGAAGCTTCTCTAGGCTGTGTTAAGGAAAAGCCAGCGCAGGTTCTCACCCGTTCAACATTTCTGTTCAGGATCATTTTTTGCGTTTATTACTCCAACTGATTATGTTGGAGAAGGCTTATACATGGTTTCATTTTGCCATGAAACCATGGGCTTTGTATCCCTTCAATAGTCTCATAATTTTCTTAACTAGCATGTTTTGACTCGGTGGATAAAGCGGGGAGTTGGAAGGAATTTTTTTCAAGATGTCTCACATTTAATTTGGATGCTGTGTTTAATCTTTACAAGTAGAGTGATGTGGGGCTTTGCCAAATCTGAATTGTAGTCTTTATTTCCGCATCTTCAATTTTTGGATTTCTACAGTGTTTTCGTATCAGCTTTAGGTTTCATCGTACATGTACTCTTATTCATTTCTCCCGCCATTTCTCTGGCGCATGAGCTTGAATATTTTGTGGGATTTAAGAAAGAATTGCAATTCATTAGTGTGGTGGAACATGTATGGATATGTTTTTGGATTCTTTCGATCTTCTATCGAGATAAGTGGAAGGTGGGGGATCATCATATAATACAGATCAAGCTTTCGTTTGAGAGAGAGAGAGAGGATGGTATCATGTACCTGCTTCGATGCCAGCCACTCACCCCAAAAAGGTTGGTGGGTGGGTCTTTAATGGAGTTCGCTGAGAAATGGATGCGTCTATTTTATATATATATATATATACACACACATCAAATGGATGCGTTTTTACTTTGTTTCAGTGACTGCGACGTTGTGGGGTATGTGGCAGGAGTTCAAGGGCTTTCTTTTTGTGGTCGGCAAAAACATGGAGGTTGCGTAGTTTTTAAGTGGGGTTTGGTCCAAAGGATCATCATCCTCAGAATGCGATGTGGCTTTACATCCTTTTTCTTGGGCCATAATAACGGAACGAGGGCGCCTTTTATTTTATAATGCATCCTTGCATCACTCGCTAAGCATCATTAGTTTTGGTGCTGTTTAGTAGTTTTGGTGTAAAGATCTTTTCATGCTTTTTTTTTTGGATTTTTTTATAAAACTTTTAGAAGCAACTCATTAAAATTATATTAAAAAATAAATTAATTTAATGTTTTCATCAAAGTAAATATATTTTGGAAAAAAAAAATCTACTTGAAAATATCCTTTATCGTTTGATCATTGGAGGTGACAGGAAATTAAGTTCTAAATGGATAATTATATTTTACTCTTGGTTTTATCGTTGATTACTTCCCCGTTGTTCTCTGGCATGCATAAGAACACTGGAAAAGATTGCATCAAGCTTAAGGTAAAATTATGGTGGCATATTTATTTTTAGGTGGCTTTTGGTACGAGGTTAAAGGTGATTTGTTACCGAGCAATTTTCGGATGTAGAACTTTAACCACCTACCAAACACCCCCTTGGAGTAATGCTATATGAACACGTGGCTATTACCCTTTGCCCCCCATGAAGAGTCAATTATTTAAATTCACGGGATCTGCACTTTACTCTTTCGTTAACACATTAATTTATATGAAAATTTTGTTTATATATGATTTTTTTATTTCATTTATTAATAACTGGGTTACTGACTTTAGGTTCCTAATATTTTTTATTTAAAAATGTTTCATAAGAAAAAGAAAAAAGAAAATTAATGGAGTCCCTTATAGTTTAAGTCCATTAATAATGTTAGTCCCTTTGACACTAACAATGTTATTTTATTTTTAAATTTAAGATATTATTTAGAATATGTGTTATATTTTAAAAATGTAAAATAAATTTAAATTTAATGAATTAAAAAACTAAAATAAACAAATAAATAAGTAAAAGAACCCGGAAACTTAAGTCTCACCAATGATTCTTCCCCCCCGCATAATTAACCATTTTCATATTATAGCAGTTAGAAAGAAAATTAAACTATTAAAAGCATAAACTAATGATATAATCATTTCATATTAAAAAAATAAATAAAAATAAAAACCAACCAAACCAAAACCATTTTTTTTTAAATCATACCTAGATTTTCTCGTTCTTTTTTCTCATCAAAACCTAGGGATCATAAATCAAAAATCTAAATTCTTGTATATTTGTTAATAAAAACAATTTTTTTTAAAATTTTTTCACCTATAAAATTTATTTTTTTTTAAAACTAAATAAATACAGAATGAGCCTTCAAAAAACATCTCAGTTGATTTACTCACTTGTTGTCCTACATGCTAGATGTGTTATATATCTCTACTAATTACAATATATATTTATAGGTCATGTTTGGAATGACATAGAAGGAATAATTAAGAAATAAAAAAATATTATTTTGATTTTTGAAGATGAATAACTCTCTCTCTCTCTCTCTCTCTCTATTCTAGTAATAAAAAAGAGTTAATTTTTTGTAAAGGGATACGTGTTAAGTAGAATAAAACATGAATATTGTAAAATTTTGCTGATATATCCTTATAGACTTTTCAAAATTCCAAGCATTGTCTTGTATTTATCAATTTTAGCAATTGATCTTGGATTAATTAACTTTTTTTTTTTATCATTGGATTCGTTAAAAAAAATGTAAAAAATACACAAGCATAACTAAAAAAATAAACTAAAAGAAAAAGGAAAGATAATTTTCTTGACATGCAAGTAACTATTAGTGCTGGCCAATATCATCATCCAATGAAAGTTCAATACATAGACACCAAAATCTTATTATTTTATAATTGGAATTAGATGATATTAAGATTTTAATTTTTAGATTTTAAAACTTTCAAATCAGATTTTATATTAATTTTATACAATGCAAAGGTTGTGTGTCTTTATAGCAGGGTTAATTCACCCGCAAATACCAAGCACATTGGAAGGATAACCTTTTAACCCATTGTCTTATTTTCTAACCTTTACACACACACACACACACACTTAGTGACCGTTTGGTACGGTTTACCATAAAAACAGGATTGAGATGTTTGGTAATCTTGAACCACACTTTTATTTAACATGGATCCCACTCAAAAACTGAGGTTGCATCTTAGCTTGTGAAAAGCAATTCACACCTGCTTTTCACTTGCTCTCCTGAGACCGACACTTATTTTCTTGTAAACAAAAGACTTTCCTTGCCGGAGCTAACAACTCTGTTTCCTTCCCCTCTATTAAACTTGATTTGGATGAAGACTGGCGAACAGACACTAAAAGGAAAGTTACCCACAAACAATTTGAGGTCTTGAGAGAAACTATGCTTGTCCCCATTAGTCAAGAAATCCTCTTCCTGTTCGAATTCAAAAGAAATGGCAACATTTTTTAGAAGCCGAGAGGACAGAGGCTGTTGCTGGTGTTGAAAGGAGAGGAGGAGAGAAACGGGCTTGAGAGAAGAAGTGGAAGAAGGAGATAGAAAAAAGAGTGAATTGGGTTTGCTGTAGAAAGATTTTATGATATTTGGGTGATTGAGCGATGGAAGGACTAGTGAAGAGGCAGATGTTGCAGACATGGCTTCTCTCTTACGTGTCTTGGCTTTTGAGGGAGGAACGAATGAGAAAATAATACATAAAATATGCATAATACAGTGAAAAAGAAAAAAAATAAAATTGATCCCATTGTCTTATTTTCTAACCTTTACACGCACACACACATCAGATTAGTGACCGTTTGGTACGGTTTACCATAAAAACAGGATTGAGATGTTTGGTAATCTTGAACCACACTTTTATTTAACATGGATCCCACTCAAAAACTGAGGTTGCATCTTAGCTTGTGAAAAGCAATTCACACCTGCTTTTCACTTGCTCTCCTGAGACCGACACTTATTTTCTTGTAAACAAAAGACTTTCCTTGCCGGAGCTAACAACTCTGTTTCCTTCCCCTCTATTAAACTTGATTTGGATGAAGACTGGCGAACAGACACTAAAAGGAAAGTTACCCACAAACAATTTGAGGTCTTGAGAGAAACTATGCTTGTCCCCATTAGTCAAGAAATCCTCTTCCTGTTCGAATTCAAAAGAAATGGCAACATTTTTTAGAAGCCGAGAGGACAGAGGCTGTTGCTGGTGTTGAAAGGAGAGGAGGAGAGAAACGGGCTTGAGAGAAGAAGTGGAAGAAGGAGATAGAAAAAAGAGTGAATTGGGTTTGCTGTAGAAAGATTTTATGATATTTGGGTGATTGAGCGATGGAAGGACTAGTGAAGAGGCAGATGTTGCAGACGTGGTTTCTCTCTTATGTGTCTTGGCTTTTGAGGTAGGAACGAATGAGAAAAAAAATAATATATACATTAATCAAATATAATAAATTATTTTTTCAATTATAATTTTAACCACACATATCAAAATTAACAAATCTTATAAAAAGTATTTTTATTAAACTATCTTTTTAAAATTACAACCACAATAATAACCACTATACCAAACAAACAGAGTCCTCTCATAAGAAAAAGGTGTCCAAGGGCAAAAATATGCCGCCACTACACAGATGTTCCCGAGGTTTTCATGTCCTAGGTCAACAATCGCCCTCTGAGAAAGCGCCATGGTCCAGTTCCAGTTCCCATCCTGCAACGTTAGGGGGAATTCCATGTCAATCAACTTGCAGCTTCAAATAATCGAGCAACTACCATGATAAAGACTTCTTTAACTTCTTTTCTTTGATATTTTTTATTTTTTCCAAGTATCATAAATCATTAGAGTCGAGCAGGTTTTGCAGGTTTGGGTCTAAGAAATTATCTGGTGGACTGCCGACAACCAGCAAAACAGCTTTAGTCCATATAAACCAAGTCCTTGTAAGGATTTGTCATGGCAATAAAGCATAAGAAGTGGAATATCACATGCTAATGACAAGGAAAATTGCCTGAAGAAAAAAGAACAGGGAGTATTACCTCCATACACCAGCAAATGTGCGTAGCCCCATAAAGATGGTTAAAGCAATCCAAATCCCAACAAATCCACCAGTTTTAGAGAGAACAAAAATGGCTGGAATGCTTGCTATGGCCACCAGAACCTGAAGAGCAAAGAAATTAAACACGTAAGTTTCATTTTGAGTAGGATTTAGAAAGATTGAACTCACAAATAAGCAATGGCCAACAAGCTTACCATGGAATATGAAGAGTAAGCAAAATCAGATGCTCCAAAGTTTACACCATCAAAGACAAAAGCTATCGAGTTGATGGGTTGTGTAGCAGCAACAAACTGAGGGGTCGATAAAGCAAAAGTCAGTCTAATTTAGCTGAAAAAGGAAATAGAAAGAAAACTCTAGTTATGGATCTGTAGATGGGAATTACCGGGATGCCGATGGCTATAATATGAAGAACATCAGGATCTTTTGAAAAAATTACATCACCGAAGTGCAGACCAAGTCCAACAAACACAGCTAGCCCAAGACCAAGAATAAAACTCATCTGTAAAACAAAACCCGTCACAATTTAAGGCTGTGGTTGGTTTAGAGGAAAAGGAAAACCAAAACATGGAGGATGTATCGATACAAATGTCATTAACGTACCTGTAACACCCGGGTCGCAGCAGTTGTTGCCTTCTGGTAGTCCTTTTCAGCAAATGCACAAGCAATAATTGCCTATAAAGGTTGAAGAAAAACACATACTAATGAGTAGTCTGAATGAAAATTTGGAAATTAAACAATGGATACTTTCCGAGAGCAGACTACGAGAAGGAAGGTTGAGCAATTTTAAAGGGTTAAAAAATGTGACATATTTCGAATTCAGTTGCTTATTCTACTTCATATTTGGACCGGTAAAGTATGATTGCAGCTCCAGGAAATGCAACAACTGGACACTAATAATCACATAAAGCATGTATGTTTCTTTACCTGTCCGGCAACTGCCAAGCCATCAGCAAGAAGGGAGGATGTCAACCAAACTTGTAAGCAAATTTGGAATGCAGCCATAGTTGTTGAACCCAGTCGAGCAGCCCTTGATGCTGCCAAGGTCACGCAGATTGTTGCTGCTACAACTCGAGCTAACAGCAGAAAGCCTGCCTCCCAGCACAGAAATGAAGTAAAATGCATTGATCGCGTGTAAGAAACTCTTGGATCGAGGTAGAAAATCAATTATAATATAACTACAGCCAATTACAGGAAGGAAGAAACTTCAAACAAAACAGTGATCAGAGCAAGAGTACCCCTCACCATTTTTGAGGAACCGACTAAATTGCAAATCTTGAACACTTGGGGGTAAAAGATTAACTTTCTTCATCAACCTCCACAGGAGAATTAGTGAAATCAAGTACCTAAAATAATTACAAGGAATTTTTTTTTATTAAATAACAATCCTTTCAAGTTTCAACTAATAGTTGCAAACACTGAACATTTATATTAGCTGCAGAGTTTCGAGATCATAGTACTTACTGAGAAAGGACGTGGGCAATGGCTGCACCACTGACACCCCAGTTGAAGACGAAGATAAATATCGGGTCTAAGACGATATTTGTTAAATCTCCTATAACTGCGGCACTCAGAATGAACAAAAGGGAAGAGTTAATCGAGTCCCAAAACTTCAGGTTCGAAGTTGGATTTTTATCTCCATATATAGAATGGTGATCGATTTATCGCATTATTTCTCATGCATGTCTAATATGTTTGATTTCACGCTGGTTAGAATATCTGCTAAGCATTAAGACATCGCTTTTGCAAAAAGAGAATTAATGCTGAAACTAAAAGGAAATGCCTCTCACCAGTGGCATATAAAGGGGTTCTTGTGTCTTTAAAGCCTCGAAAGACACCTTGCATCGCCAGTGACAAAAGAACTGCTGGAGAACCTAGTGCTCTCAACGTCAAGTACTTCCTTGCAGGGGTTAACATCGCCGAATCCTATCCATAAAAAAGACAGCAGTCAGTTCTCTATTGAGTCAAGGCAGCGGGAATCAGTAGATGCAGAGTGACAAAAATAACACTACCGAGGAGAATGAGATGGAAACTGAAGGCACTTACAGATTTCACACCCATAATATGCAGGACAGGTTTTGCCCCAACTATGAGGAATATAGCTTGCACTAGACCAAGAATTCCACCAACAATTAATGCTGTCGACGCTGAGGGGATATGCAACCTCTCTTTATTTCGTTTGGGCTCAACACTATTGGTATCAGTAAGAGTAGTAGTCTTGCTTGTGGTTGCCTTACAATCTGATGAGAACAACAGTTACATTATTTATGCTGTGGTGATATGATAATCGTATTCATGCCGTCTTTTGTAGCAAATTTTAGAATTTTGAGTTTTTGACACATGTTCTAGGGGGTGATGCTATAACATGGGCAATGGAAAATGATCAAAGAGAAAGAGAGAGTTCGTGTACCATCCCCCGGCACTGAATCTTTCTTTTCAATGTTCTTTTCATTGTTTGTGGCTGAACCTTTTTCCAAGTTCTCGAGCATTTCATCACCAGGCAACTCTTTTGCTTTACCACTTTCCGCATCTTTATTCAAGTCCCTAGCCTTTTCTGCTTCAACTATGCAATTTCTTTGAAGAGTTTCTTCCTCAGCTACAAAAGAAGTCGTTATACTAACCAATGGAAATATGGTGACTTTTGAGGCTTGATTGAATATGGCAATAGCAACACCTACAGCAGCTATTTCCACTGGACCTGTGCAAAATAAAAATGAAAATCAGCTTCGGTATCAGATCTAGTCCACTTGTTGGTGTGTCGCATTCAGCAACAAGATATATAGCTCATGGAGTAGAGCCGATCGACAATTTGAACATGATCAGTACGATATTATTCCACACAAGTACCACTGTAATTTGTTTTTCCTTTCCTTTCCTTTTTTTTTGAACAACTGAAGGGGGATATGCTAAATGCTGTTAACTGATACATCGAGAAAGTTCTCTGAAGTTCCAGTGTGTCATAATCTTAATCACATGAGAAATCCATGCAATAGTATAGATCTTAAATTTCCACGATCTTTCAACTTTGTATATGAAGTTCTTAAATGATATACAGCAAGAATATTGGTTGTCAAAATGCAGCAGTTTCGCAATAGAGGTCTGTAGTTAGCTGAATGAATAATTATAGGACATGAAAACAAACCTAGACGGCCAATGAAGGCTGTGTCAATCAGGGAGGCAACGGGATCAGCAGCTAAAGCCATTGCTGCAGGCAATGCAATCCTTATGATCTCCGAACCAAGTTCATCTTTTTTGAAAACACGTCTGAAATTGGAACCAACATTGATTAGCTCATAGAAGCATGAAAAGTTTTCTCTTTACCAGTCATACCACCTTAAGTTCCCACTTAACATATTAACGGGGGAATAAAAATTTCTTTGCCTGCTTTAAACTTTAAAAGATCAACACCATTCTAATTAACAAACCGGTCTTACAAAGCAGAATAAAAACCAGTATATGGCACATTAAAGCCACAGCATTTGCACATGCAGCACAGCAAAAAAACTGCATGGGACTAAATGAAATTATACCTTGCATCTCTAAAAAAAACAGAGAGTGGTATCTTTGGCTTTCTCAGACCAACTGGCTGCAAAGCACCTTCCTCAGACATGATATCAAAACCTTAAGTTGTAAATGAATATCACCCCAAGTTTGAACCTTTTCTGATCCAGTTAAGCTTATCGGGGTGACTGCAAAAATATTCAAGTCCTCACAAGCTAAGTTCCTATAACCTGCAGAATGCATGATATACCAGCGGATCATGATTATGACAATACAATAAACCCGGCAAGCAATAACGCTCAAGTTAAAAACCAACCTTGTGTTCTATTATGATAAGACAATGGATTACTGCAAGAATGATTTCAGGTATAGGAAAGCCAATGGTGCTAGTGTATAGAATAAGGACCGGGAATTTATGGCTCTTGCCTCAACAACTAACAGTTGAACCTCCCTCAGTTCTCTCTTATCTTTCTATATAAAATATGCATGTGCATCAAACATCTGTCAAAGGTCTCCCTAAAAAAATGCCGGCATTAATTTGCAAGCATGAATTCTGGCATGGAGGCTGTTGGATTCCGCTAATATCTATTTTGTAGTTTTAAAAACCAATCCAGCATAAAAGCTCGGGTTATGAATTAAAAGGGTCGATTCAAGTTAATCATTTAAAATAAAATCAAAATAAAATCATATTAATAAAAAAATTAAAAAATTAAAAACTAGATTAAATACAGATCAATTAAATTACTAGTGTAAACCGAGTTTTTAAATGAATTCATCCCAGTTTTTTTTTTTCTATTTTTATTAAACTCAGATATATTTAAACCTCAAATCAACCAAGTGAGTTTACCCAGCGGATCCATACAAGTATTAAAACAATGGTTTTCGGTCGTCACAAAAAGGAACGCGTGATCCTTGACTTTAGGTCTTGCTGTGCTTCTTCCCCACGTGCCTGACTGTGTTATTTGCTAGCGTGAGTGTGTTAATACTGAAATTAAGCGTGCTAATTAGTGTTCTTTTTTGCCATACTATCAACCTTAACGTGGCGATGCGGGCACTGTCCTGCCATGTAAGCATACTGATATCGGTAATCAACAATCAATTTAATAAAGATAGATCATTCTTGGGTTCATTACAGTGGTTGGAGTTTTAAGGATTTACTGCTCTTTAAAGGAAGTAAAAGGTGATGAAGAAGCAAACAAGGACAATTCACAGAATTTCTTTCCTCTTTTGATAATTACCAAAAATTGCAATTCCAAATCATGTATATGAACAGAACTGTTCTGACAATGAAACGACACCAGTAGTGAATCTTTGATACTTACTCTGCATGTAAATTCTTTATAAATATATTAAAATAATATTTTTGATATTAACCCACAATTTAAAAATATAAAAAATAAATTAATTTGAATTTTTTTAAAATTTAATGAAATAATAATTACACGGCTGCCCAGAAAAATAAAAACTCACTAAATTGCTAATAAACTTCATTACCTCAGTTGTCATTGTTCTTAAATGGTAGCTAAGTTGCAAGGGTTTATAACTTAATTTTAGTCCATTCACCAATTCTCAAAATCAGGAATTAAAATAAGGATTTTTTTGAATAAAATATTATTTACAAACAAACAAATCATCTACCTTAAAAAATAGTGATATTTAGATTCTACAAGAATTAATTAATAAATTAAATATTAAAAATACAGTTTCCTTTTTAGTTTATACGAGATTTTTACATAGTTTTTTTTTACATGTAATACTGTTTAACTAATTAGCTAGATCCCCAAGAGCATAGGAATTAACTAAGTAGCTGCAAAATCTCTGGGCAATGTGTCCCTTGTTTGCGTTTTTAAGCATGAATAAACCTCCCTGGGTTCTATATGGTTCCTATATAGCACCGTAACAAGCTACTGCTTTTATTGTTCACGCTAAAACAAAACCTATATCTTTCCCGTCCCCTCTTTACACATTAAAAAAGTACGAACGACTCAAAGAGATTGGACGTTGTCGACGTCTCTATACGTAGGGAGGCTCACTTTTGTCAGTTCCCTAGATTTATATTTTGATCAAATCACTTTCCTAGAGATAATTAGTGAGCAAATAATGTAAACAACCACGCACTTTAACTTGAACACACATACAGTATATATCATGGATACGTCATGGGATGCTTCGTATTTTACCATTAATTTGTACGAAGAGCAAGAAAAAAATGAAATCCGGATCTCTCACAGTTAAAGAAGCATCACGGGTCAATGTTCTATACCGACTTGCGCATGCAAAAGTGCTAAGAACAGCTAAATAAAGGGACAAAGGGGTCAAAAAGCAGACACAATTGGAAATTTTTTTCTTGAATGCGAAGTCTTTTGCCTCCTACCTCGCAGGAGCGTCAACATTATGATTAGATTTATGATGGAAACAAAGGCCTCCATCACTTGAATCTTCACTAGATAATCCGCGAGATAGCCAACAAGAATTGAAGAGATTCGAAAAAAGGAAAGGTCGGATTTGTGTTCACATTCCTAGAAATTTCGTTGTTCGTAATTGGAGGGCTGGTATACAAATGCCAGTCCTCTAGACAATTCAGCAATATCTTGGTATATGAAGAATTAAGGATTAATTAATGCATGTAATTTAGAGATTTCCATTTACAAGAAAATGCTTAGCAATCTCCAGGCTCATCTGTTCTTGAATTGGTTCAATCTCTAACACATCGTGCAGCAACAAAAAGACCCCCAGGAATAATAATAATAAAAAAATGTACCTAGAGATTCTGCTAGCAGCTTCTCCTTTTTCCATCTTGATCAAGGAGTTACCATTACAAGTTGCCAATGCAGCACTGAATGAATTATCATTAACTTCAATTAGAAGAAGAAACTTCATGAGCAGGATCTAAGAATTTATAACTGAGAAAGCGATTCTGCCAATTCAAGATTCAGAGATTTCTCTCAGAATCTTGCACCTGCTTCGCTTTAATTTGTTCATTTCATACATATTAGCTAGTTAAAGACAATTTGTTTGAAAGTTACCCATCTGGGACACATCTAAAATCAAGCATATTAATCGGCTAGTTCAAGACAAATTGTTCGAGAAGTTACGCACTTGGGTCACCTCTGCTGTTGACTGTTCTGTACCGCTCGGGACACCCATCTACCAGGCTTTACCTTTTATTATTTTAATGCTTTCCATTTTAATTGGGTATCAATGTAAAGTAGGTGGGTTACCTATTTGGATTTATTTTTTTTGGCCTGGAGATCATTTGAGAAACGGAGAAAAATATATCCTTCGTCCCGTAATAAAATCAGCGGTTGCAATATCTTAATAAGAGATTGAAATTAGAGATAGGTTTAGTAGTTATCAAGAGAACAATTATGCTACTTCCTGTTGTTTCCGTTTTATCTCCATCAATAATTCGAGACTAATGATAAAAAATTAGGTTCACAGATTCGATTAAGCCAATGACATAACGTTTCGGATGTTGTTCTTTACAGCAAACTTTAATTATTTGAGTTATGTTTAGTTGGTGCGCGCTCTAAAATATATAAAAGGGAAAAGTATAAAAATGACATAAGGATCATGGACTTTCAATTCTGGCGTTTCAGAGCAGAGTAGTAGTGATGGATGGGCAAAAGAAGCCTCTAATACGAAAGATAAGCATTTATAAATAAATAAATTTATCAACTACACAGTTTTGAAATGAATTTGTGTTTTTTTAATAAAGAAACACAAAAAATATATTTTTTTTTAATTTAGAAAATGCAACCAGATGCTATTTTTTTAAAAAAAATTCAATCATGAAAACAAACTTAATTAACGAAATTGCTGGAAGCATTTAACTTGGTCATTCGAAATCAATAAAAGCAAGTATGAGGTCGAGAATTTATCACAAATTGATGATGATGAGTTACAAAAGCAGTCGAGAAGATAGCCGAAGGCACGTCATGGTGGAAAAACAAAGAGAAGCGTGAGAATTACCATTTTGACCGTGACTTGTGATTTTCAACTGTAATTATGGTTTTTAAATATTTAATAATATTTTCATATGTTATTTTTAAAACCAACGACTTTTAATTTCTTAAAAATCATGACCACAACAAAAAAAAATAAAAAATTGATAACTTTTCTAAACGACCGTTCAATAAAGAAGGATAAGGAAGGAAATGACTCTATTTGGCACTTGTATGGTGGTGACAAAAGGATCAGCTATAAAATAGACAGAACCGGACCCCAACAAAGCCAAGTGGTGGGCCCCAGAATTCAAAGGGCCTGCAAGTCTGTACTTGACTAGTGGCAGTTGAAGAACTCACCATCATCCTTCCAGTTGGCCATGGAAGTTTGAACACACAGTCCCTGGTGACAACTCTCCAACTATTTTAGAGCCTGAGAGGGATCACGGCCAAAAGCCACATGGACTCTTTAAGTTATATTTTTTTTTTAAAAAAAGAAGTACATTTTGCTGCGAATAAGCTGTCACTTGAAGGGTGGGTGCGTGGGTTTTTTCCAGAATTATTATCAGAAGAAGCGATGTCACTGCCATTAAGAAACAAGGATGGGTTTCGTTAAGGAAAGTAAGAAATGTTTCTATGAATTTTACGGCCATCTGCTGGTCCAATTCGCTTCCGTTTTGGCGGTCCTTCTATCAACAGAAGTAACACGCCTATACCGACGGATTCGAGCCAAGCCATCGGGCCTTGGTCCTTCACTATCTACTAAACTGTTTTTTTTTTATGATGCTTTAGAATCCCATTGTGTAAGATTTTAGTTCTATGTCAACCATTACACACACAGAGTTACATACACATTCTACTGCTTTAGGCCTAACCACACCTCCTGATTTAATTTCTAGAAAAAGAAGTATAATATCAATACAAAATTAGTAATATCGGTCAAGACCGAACTGAAGGAAGTGAGAGGATACTTTGCTCACCTTTGCAATCGGTAACGCAAGTTCTGTGTAAGGCTAGCTCATTTCCCACCAACTTCTGCAAAGCTCTTTCTACCAACCTCCCTTGGATTGCAAGCCGAATACAGACCCACCAGCTCCCTTTTATACACACCTTTCCTCGCTCTCGAATCTGAAGTAGCCTATGACAAATTAGCGAGAATTCCAATGTAAAAGAGAGACATTGTTAATGAAAATTTATTGAATAAGGCTCGAAGATAAATCGAAGAAACAAAAGAAATGTCAAGCTAGCCTTGTGATGATAATGCAAATTCACTTGCATCATTGCATTAAAATTTATAGACTTGGGGATGTAGAAAGGTGGAATTCCACTACCCGTGTAAGATATAGTTCTGTAACCTTATTGTCTAACTTTTTGCTACAAAATCAAGTGCTTTTAGTAGGTAACGTGCATGAGAGCTCTTTACCAACTTGTGGGCTGCGTAGGATTCCCAATACTGAATACTCGCAATTTTAGATTACATGAGGCTTTTGTAGTTTCACACATTAATTGCATATATAATATGAAAATTCTATTGTGTAGAAAGCTATTAGACTAGTTAACTTAGCGGGTTAAAATGCGAGCACACGTTTTTCTTTATATCTCCAAAAATGCAATACGAGGAGTTACTAACATGTTTTCAGCATAAAAAAAATATTAACTTTATGAATTTTTACAAGTATTTAATTAAAATAGATAGAGAATTACATATGCTTGTAAATATAAAAAAATTATTAATTAAATCTATATAAAAATTAATTTGTAAGGTTAAGAAATATATATAAATCAAGATATTCAATCTGATGTAAACTAGTTGATTTGATGATTCCAAAAACAACTTGGATCACTAGCAAAAAAACTCAGCTTGACTTAAAATAAAAAAGAATTCAAGATAATTTTTTTTAAATGTTGAGATGGCAATATTTTGGATCAACTCGACTTAATTTGTCAAACTCACTATCCAAGTTGTTAGCTATTAGAAAATAATATAAATCATATTTTGAGACCCCATTTAATAACTTAAGCTTTTGGGTTGAGTTAATTCTTTGACATGGTATCAAAGTCTTGATGATCGAGCTGTCAAGAGTTTAAATTTCACAATCCCCATTTATTTGATAAAAATCAAACACAAGGTAATGTGAGACTGTACAAGTATCTTAGGACCTCATCTAATACCTTAAGTTTTTGGGTTGAATTGATTATTTGACATGGTATCAAAGTCTTGATGATCGAGCTGTCAAGAGTTTAAATTTCACAATCCCCATTTATTTGATAAAATTAAACACAAGGTAATGTGGGTCTATACAAGTTTTAGTTTAAAGAGTTTTTACTTAAGGGGATGCGTTAAAGAATAATATAAATTATATCTTGAGACCTCACCTAACAACTTAAATTTCTGGGTTGAATTGGTTCTTTGACATGATATCAGAATCTTGATGATCAAGCAGTCACGAGTTTGAATCTCAATATCCCTATTTATTCAATAAAAACCAAATATAAGGTAGTGTGAGCCTCTGTAAGTTTTAAGTTCAATGAACTTTTAATTTGAGAAGGTATGTTAGGTTAATATGATTTTTTGACATTGACTTAACTAGGTTTAATAACTTTGTTTTTCAAAATTATTTTTTTAATCTAGTTATACAACATAAAAAAAACATTCACATAGAAACAACTCAATAATCTTTTTTCTAAAACAACAACAACCATGACTTGTTGCACAAAAAGTGTAGATAAGAACATTGAAGAGAAATAATAATAATAATAAAAATTACGAACTAGTTTTATGTTAATTAGTAACTCTATTCGTTTTTAAATATTATAGGTGAGGGACTAATTATATTAAAATAAAGATGAGAATCATTTTAAAACTTATTATCTAAGATAAATTTTTTTGTATTTGTTTTTAATATTAAAAATGACCAGTAGAACTTAAAGTAATTATTTGAAATCCACACTCGATCTTCACTTTCGAAGGGGAGCATTAGACTCAAAATAATGATAGATGATAGATTAAGTTTCGATTAGCTTCTTTAGTTATATTCTAAACTATATCAAAAAATCACTACTCGTATTCTATGAACTTGTATAATTGTGCTGATCCAGCCCAAGTTCTTTCATGCATCAAGGAATTAAATATACCATCCAATACCCAAAAATAGATTCCCACACATCAAATAAATTGCCTTTTTTGTCTTTTGTTTTAAACAAGGAGGAGTCGCGTTGTCAACATCCTTAAACAAACAAACAAATAGTTCATTTATACAGGTTGGCTTCACGAATAATAAAACTATTATTTCGTAACAAAATTGTAGGAAAAAAAATTATGACATTTTTTTTTAATAATTTTGAATACGGAATCCCGCATCAATTTCATTATTCATGGGCCAAAATCTTCAAACAACGACTAGATGATTTATTTATTCCTTGTTGATTTTATGGACAGCCAAAATAATTGATGTACAATAAAATAAATCAATATCATATATACAAGGGTAATGCACACCAGGTTCACGCAAATCAACAAATAAAATGTGCACCGAGATCAAATAATTATTTATCAAGTGTTCTAAATCACAAAAATAAATCTTTACGATTTCTATCTTCGAGTCGTCACGCAACAACGCGGATTATATTAATATTATAATTGATTATTATTATTTAATAATAATAATCATATTATAACTTATCCCAATATCAGTTTGTATGTCTTAACAAAATTAGTATATGCTATAAGAGAACAATATAGGAAATTCTTTTCTTTCACGACATTTGAGGATGACTAGTCAGCCCTCATAGCTAGGATGATGAGCTAACTAATGTGTATATCCTTTTTTTTTTTTTTTGAGTGTTGTGCTTTGAGCTTCTGACGATGGGATGCCACTCCACTAGTTATATATGCACGCCACGAGAGAGAAGAGGCAACGAGATCACACAAATTGAGGAGGAGGAGCTGTCCGAGGATAGAAGTGTTGAATTTGTGACTCGGGGTATCTCAAGCTTCCTACCATCCCGCCCACATCCTTCAATGCTTTTTTTTTTTTGGTAACTATTAGAGAGTTGATAAATCAATTTTTTCATGCTAAAATTAGAGTTTTTTCTCGATTAAATTTCTAACAGACCCTGGGTGAACAAGTTCCTTTACAAGAAACTGACTAATAATTAGCACTTGGGTCCAACACCAAAAAGAAAATATTATTATTGCATTGAATTATAGCACAAAGAATATATATATATATATAAAACGACAGAAGTATTTGGCAAGAAAGAAGAGCTCACAACAACTTATACAAAATTATTGTTAGCTAATATCCGGGTTCTCAGAGATCATCAAAATTAGAAGCTGGCAACGTTTCTGTGTTTAAGACTGTTGACAGATAATCTTCGTCTCAGCATCTGAGAGGATATTGTTAAGATTGCTGCTGGCGATTCAGCTTTAAAAGAACAAATAGAAATGCCTTCTTAACTCGACGAGTCCAAGAGATAAATATTCTTGGTGGCAATCTCTCACTATTTTCTGGATACCTCGATGAGCACAGAGTTCAATTGTTTTTCAGCACATAGCTTTAGTTAGAATTCTATGAAATACGGTTCCAGCTAACCAATCCATAAATAAGAACTTTGTGTGGGTATCATAAATTAATAAACCCCAAATCAATCTCCACCAATCGTCTCAAGGCTTTGAGGTCTTGCACAACCCAAGCAATTTTTTTCAAGGACTACAAAAGCCCACTTGAATTTGTATATGTATATAATGACCAGATCTTCCAGCTGGCCACTTCCAGCATTTTTCTCTTCTATTACAGTAGAAATTTTAGTTTCTGATGGTTCCTTAACTTTCTAAATTACTTGATTTTTTTCATTCAATTGAAGACGAGTACGTGTGTTAATGCTATGACCGACTCCGTACGTATACGTGGATTGCATACATGAAGAAGGAACTGGTCATCATAGGAATTTGCTTCGCCATCATAAAATATTAAGATTAGAAAACACTTTCGTGTGGAAGCCACGAAAATACAATTAAATTAAAGCGGACGAATTCCACTATCGAGTTGGAGAGAAACCACGCCAACAATTCAATGCATTCCACTCACCCACGCCCCCCGAAATGTATATTGCGCATGCTTTTTGCTTAATTTCTTTTTAATTTTAAATGAACAAGTGCTTATTTTTTAACAAAAGAAGAAGAAGAAAAATGCCCCACATTTCGAAGCAAAGCCTGCATCTAACAGTGCATCGGTACGTAAGGGTGCTGGATTTCTACCAAGTAGTCTGGTACCCACGGAATCATCAGCGATGAATCTTCATTAAATTATTACGTCAAAAAGATGGAATCCACTTTCGTGTGGAAACCACACGCACCGTTACCCCACCAGATGCTCAATGTCTATCGATTATCGTCAGGTATGATGTTTCTTCGATTCTTTTCTTGCCCTTTTTTATTACAACTTGTACATTCTTCACATGCAACAACACCTGTAAAGTTTTGTGAATGTATTTTATAAATTAGATAAAATTTAGGTCTGAACATATTAAATATACTTTTATAGTTTAGCATTGTGATTTTTAGAGTTTGAAAACTCCAACGCTATGCATTGCATCAACAAGTAAAGTATAAAGCTACTATTTAATTAATTAGCGGAAGAAAAAAATAAATAAAATTGTTGATACAATTAATGAAATTGTTAGTATAATTAGTAGAGTATGAGTAGAGAAGAATTATTAGCATAACTTGTAGCATAATTAGTGCCTTAATTTATAGCTTTTGTCTTCTCACTCTTATCTATAAATAGGCTAGGTCTCCAGGCTTATTTTGCACATTAAGATATAAAGAAGAAGAGGAGAGTGAACAGAGAGTAATCTCATAAAATTATGAGGTATTTATCAGAGAATAAGTGAGATGTCTCCTAATAATAGAGAGATTCTTAGTTGTTCTCCTATTATTTGAGAGAGATTATATTTCCTACATTACTTAGTAAAATCATTTTATACTTGTTTGTGGTTGTAGCCTAATTGGATGAACCACGCAAATTCTTGTGTGTCTCATTTCTTATTTTATCTTATTCCTTACCTTTTGTCTTGTCGGGTTTGCATGTTAGTATCCTAACAGTGGTATTAGAGCCTTCCTGGTTGATGTTATTAATACACAAATGTTATTCATGTATACGATAATATTCACATCTACGATAATATTCAGTCATACAGTGTTGTTCACATACATTACTATTGGCGTATATAGAAAGTTAATGCGGTGATTAAATATAGTCTAGGAAGTTCTGTCTAAGGAGATTGAGTTTTAAGGGAGACTATTTG